GCTTGTGTGACTGCTGCCTCGCCCTTCCTCAGCTTCAACACTTCACTCAACTGCACCACAGGTATTCTGGGCTGGCAGTTTGGTGGAGAGACTGACTGACCCCTCCAGCCACCTCTGACAGCTCCCTCCACGCCCATCCCATGCAGCCTTGTTCCAGGGCCATCCCATGTTTCTGAGTGCTTCATCACACACGGCCAACCTCATCATCCCCTACCCGGAGACAGACAACTGGTACCTCTCCTTGCAGCTTGTGTGCCCTGAGAGTTCTGAGTATGTGAATCTGGGCCTGGGCAACATGACATGGGCTGGTAGCAATGAAGGGAAGCATCTGTGTGTTAGGAAGGGTTCTCCTTTTCTGCCTGCCCCCACCCCACAACAGCACTAGCAGGGGAAATGAGTGCCTTAGCTGTTGGAGTCTGGAGGGCTCTTCAGGGCACTACAACCAGCCCTCTCAGGCCCCTCCTTTGCAGGGACTGTGAACCGGCCATAGCTCGCGTGGAGACCACCCTGTATTTGGTGCCCTGTTTGAATGATTGTGGGCCATATGGCCAGTGCCTCCTGCTGCGTAGATACGGCTATTTGTATGCAGGCTGCAGCTGCAAAGCAGGTGAGAGTGACCCTGCAGAGCAAAGCAGGGACAAAACTCCCTCCCACTCCTCCCCATGCTTCCCATGATCTCCCCCTCCCCCACCTCACCCCCCACTGCTCCAGGCATATGGGCACTGAGGCATTTGCTGGGGAAGTGTTGCCTCCTGACCTTGGCATTGCTTGCATCCTACCTGCCCTTAACTGCCCGTACCCACACTGTGCCTACAACTGTTTCTCTTGCCCATGCTTGTCGGCGCCTATGTCCAGCTGCTCACACTTTTATTGTGAGTATATGCTGATCCACTTTTTTCATGATCCACTTTTTTTCATAGCAGTTTCTGCATATTCACACTGTGTTCCCATCTGTCCTTGCTTGCCACATTCATCCCCACACGGCCACATATCTTTATATCTGTCCCTACTAATTCATATCTATTCATACCTGCCCCTACCTACACATACCTGTTCACACATCTTTCTCCAAGCTCATGCCTGTTCCCAGCAGGTCATACTTGCCCATATCTACACACATCTGCCCATACATGTTTCCCACTGCCCATGACTGCCTGCACCAGCTATGCTTACCTTGCTTCTCCACACCTCCAGACCTCCCCATGTCTACATGCATCTTCCACATTTGTCCCAACCTGCCCACAGCTGTCCCCACTTGCCCATGCCTGCCCATGCTTATCTATGCCAGTTTCTATCAGTACCAATATCCTCCTACCACACCTGTGGATTCCATTAGGCTTGTCTACACAGCCTCCCTCTAGGTGAGGAAGGGGCCTGAAAGGTCAGAAGCCTCCCGTCCACTTCCAGGACACACCTAGGTATTGATTGTGTGGCCCCTTAGGTTGGCGTGGGTGGAGCTGCACCGACAACAGCACAGCCCAGACTGTGGGCCAGCAGAGGGCAGCAGCGCTTCTGCTCACACTCAGCAACCTCATGTTCCTGGCCCCCATTGCTGTGTCAGTGCACCGTTCCTTGCTGGTTGAGGCCTCTGTCTACTTCTACACCATGTTCTTCTCCACGGTAGGGTAGGGTTGGCCCTAATCCCTTGGGGAACCTTGGGTGGGGAGCATCAGGGCTGCCGCTCACTGCTTCACCTCACAGTTCTACCACGCCTGTGACCAGCCGGGGGAGGCAGTGCTGTGCATCCTCAGCTATGACACGCTTCAGTACTGCGACTTTCTGGGCTCTGGGGCAGCCACCTGGGTGACCATTCTTTGCATGGCCCGTCTGAAGACAATCCTGAAACAGGTGAGTGGCCTCTGATGCCAAGCCTGGACTCCAGGGAAGCAGAGGCCCTCACATTCAGTATGTGGAGTGGCGAAGGGGTAAAACAGAAGGGCTGGGTGTCAGCTCTCACGTGATAGCTAGCTACTCTTGGAGAAAGTCATAGGAAGCTGGGAAGGAAAGGTGTGGTCATCAGAGGACTCTAGGAAGGGAGATAGGGGTCGGGGACCCTAATCTCAAAGAGGAGCCAGGCCAGGCTTCCCTGAGAAGTCTCAAGCATGCTCCTGGGTTCCTTGTCCTAGGGCACTCTGCTGACTTTCTGCAGCAGCTGGACAGTGGAGATGACTCTTTGGTGCTTGTGAACTATGCCCTCTGTCTACAGGCTGGGTACAGCTCATCAGGGGCATGCTTAGAAGCTCCATGATCGTATAAAAAAGGGACAAGGAAAAATTCTAAAGGATCCTGTGGGCCGAGTGTTAAGGGTTTGAACTTGCAGGCTGTGGCAGATGTGCTGATGGAGACTTAGGTATGGGATCTCCTCCAACGAACCATCTAATGCCATCCTGATGGAGACCCTGGAAGGCTTAGTATGCAGCATCATGCAAGTGTGTACAAGACTGCCCATTAGGAGTGGGCATTACTAGTCCTCCAAAGGTTCTTCTATGTTCACCCTTGGACACAGTAAAGGGGCTAGAGAAAGGACACTTCCCTCCCAGGTGGCTGAGCAGGAATGGATCAAAATCTGCCAATAACTCCAAGAGGAGCTGGCAGATGTACCAGAATGATAAGAAACTGATAATGGCCGGGCGTTGGTGGCACACGCCTTTAATCCCAGCACTTGGGAGGCAGAGGCAGGCGGATCTCTGTGAGTTCGAGGCCAGCCTGGTCTACAGAGCTAGTTCCAGGACAGCCTCCAAAACAATACAGAGAAACCCTGTCTTGAAAAAAAACCAAAAAAAAAAGGGGCTGGAGAGATGGCTCAGAGGTTAAGAGCAGTGACTGCTCTTCCAGAGGTCCTGAGTTCAATTCCCAGCAACTACATGGTGGCTCACAGCCATCCATAATGAGATCTGGTGCCCTCTTCTGGAGTGCAGACATACATGAGGCAAGATGTTGTATTCATAATAAATAAATCTTAAAAAAAAAAGAAACTGATAATGGGTACCCAGAACTCTAGTACCTGTTGTGTCTTATACCATCACAGGTGATTCTAGCCAAAGGCTCCCATGATCCCACAAACCATCCCTGTGTCTCTCCCAGGTCCTGCTTGTCCTAGGTATACTGGTCATCGCCATGTCCTTGCAGATGGATCGCAGGGGCATCTGGAACTTGATGGGACCCTGCCTCTTTGGCTTTGTGATCATGGCCTCCATGTGGGTAAGGAACAGGGCACAAAGGTTTTCCGGTTTAGATTCAGAAAAGAGAACCAGGCCCTTAATTCTGGTTATGATTCCAGTTTTGCTGGAAGGGCTCCAAAAACTCCACATCTACTTAGAGCCAATAGCAGCCACCCATTGAGCCCCAGTATGGCCGTGTGCCTGAGATCTTGGTCTGACGACCACTAGCCATGAGTCCGTATGCAGTTCTGCTGCCTAGATCTAAACAGACCTCACAACCCCTGGGAACTGTAGCTGCACTCAGCCTCAGCCTGCACTGACATTCCTGTGGCTGTTCACTCCAGATGTACCGCTGTGGGCACCGGCGTCAGTGCTACCCTACATCGTGGCAGCGCTGGGTCTTCTACCTCCTGCCTGGCATCTCCATGGCCTCTGTGGGCATCGCCATCTACACTTCCATGATGACCAGTGAAAATTACTACTACACCCACAGCATTTGGCATATCCTATTGGCCAGCAGTGCAGCTTTCCTTCTGCCACCACGAGAGGAGCAGGCTGAGTCCTGGTCTTGCTTGCAGCAGTTCCCCTGTCACTACCAGATCTGCAGGAATGATCGGGATGAGTTGTACACAGTGACGTGATGGCTCAAGGACACCTGATACTCTGATGACCTCTTCAGCGAGGAAGGGAACAAGAGAGTTGACTATCTAGCCCCACCCAGGCTTCCACCTGAATAAAACTGTCCTGTGACCTTTGGCTTCTTTCTCCAGAGGAGAGGACTCCTCCACCCCAGATTCTTTGTGGCTGCTGCCAGTGTCCTCGGTGGGTCTCAGCTGCTTCCACCTGGAGACCACAGGCACCATGTGTGGCAGATCACTATGTAGTGGTTGAAGACACAGATCAGGGAGAGATCCCATTGTCCCATTCCTTTGTGAAGCTGTGATCTGAGACCTACAAGGCAAGGAAGGCTGAGTCCATGGAGGCCACTGTCCCTGACAGCGTACCACCCTGCCTTGGCACGGGGATGCCCTGTTGCTGCAGTGCTGTGGTAGAGCCAAAGGGCTGATAAGACCCTGGGGTGCTGCGCACTGTCCCTCATTCTCTGTTGGAGCCAAAGATCCTGGGAAGTGTCTGTATGAGGTGTGACCCCAGAAGCACACACTTCCCTACTGGTGTGCCCTCCTCATCTAAAGGCCCTAGGCCCTAGCCTAGTGAGCATTCTTTTGTGTTGGCCCTAGGCCCTAGGATGCTGACCCCTCACTGGATCAGCTGAGACTTGAAGAGTGGATTCTGGAGCCCTGGCTCAATCCTTCAGGTGCCCGCTGGGAGCTCTGAGCTGATTGGTGCAGTGGTGCCCTGTCTCACTGTGAGGCCCAACTGCTCTGTGGCCTTGAAGCTTTTTTTCCTAGTTTTGTCTGGGATGTGGGCCGCTTTGCTTGCTACTGACAGTCTTTATTTGGCCACCAAAGCACACTTTATCCCTTGAAAGGGGAAACATGTATATACTGTTGGGGGGGATAGTAAAATATTAAACTGTTCTATGAAGGTGTATTTTTATGTAATTGATGAATTTAATATTCTACAATGATTTTTCAAACCAAACAAGTGTTTTACATTTTTTTCATGCGTCCCTGGAGGGAAAAGGAGGCTGGACCTAAGAGGTCTGCCAAAGCTGTTGGAGAACCCCTGGGCTGCACTTCGTAGACGGTGCCTTGAATCATTGCATTCTCAGATAATTTTCCACAGTCCCTAAAGAAGGCGGAGACAAAGGAATTGTTTTAGATGGATGGGCGTAGCTACCAATCCGCAGCGAGTAAAGGCACGCATTCGGTGATGTTATTCCGGTTCCGGTTCCGGCAGACGTGGGCGCGCAACTCTCCGAGTTAGAGGGTCACGCAATGCCTCTGCACAGGTATCCTGTGCACCTGTGGCAGAAGCTGCGGCTGCGGCAAGGCATCTACGCGCGTTTGCCCGCTCACTTCTTGCGCTCTCTGGAGGAAGAACGAACGCCGACCCCAGTACACTACAAGCCTCACGGGGCCAAGTTCAAGATCAACCCTAAGAACGGGCAGCGCGAACGCGTTGAGGACGTACCCATTCCGATTTACTACCCTCCAGAGTCCCAGCAAGGGCTTTGGGGTGGAGAGGGCGTGATTTTGGGCTACAGATATGCCAACAACGACAAGGTGGGTGCGGGCCACCTCGGCGGTTAAGCACGCTTTGGTGGTCAGGCTCTGCTCTGGTCGCGGCGGACCGTCTGCCTGATTGACACAAGCGCTCGGTAAATTAGGGAGCATGCCAACACGTGGAGCGTCGGGGATTTGGAGTTCTCCAATTGGAAAGTCTAGTGGGGTCCTGAAGTGGGTGGTCCTGATCAGGTAGCCATCAAAAGTAAGGGTGGAGTGGGGCGATGGAGCAGGGTGATAGGGTGCTTTAATCGCTTATGTAAGGTCTTGGGTTCAAATCCCTAGCACCACAGAGAAAAGAAAGGAATGATAGATTTGAGGCTTGTGCTGAAGAGGAAGAGGAGAGGTGAATTCTAGTTGTCACTTGCCAGGTTCTATGAGCATTTGCCTAATTCTTGTGACAGGATACCTTTGCTTCTCCCACGTAAAAATGATAAAGACGGAGATGCTCGGATTCAGGCAGCTTACAAGGTTCAGAGGCTGGGATCAATCATTCTGGTGGAATTCTGCTCATAGCCAAGTGTTGTTGTGGAAAGAGAGTGTACGTTTCAGGCCTTCCAGGACACCACTTGCTTGCCTGTGGCTGCTGGGTTTCAGTTGTGCCAGCATCTGGAACGTATACCAGCAGCCTGAGGCTAGCCCGAGAGAAGTAGACAGCTATGTGGGCGTCCAGGCCCAGACCCAGGAGACCTGTCTAGCAGCAGTGGTTCTGTGGAGCCTCTGAGGAGACAGGGCAAGCCTCACATAGCCCAGCTCCCAGGAATGTGCTTTGGGGCCCACTTGATCTGCAGGAAGCACCCCAGCAGTAAACTAGTCTCTCTTGCACACTCAGCTCTCGACGAGGGTGAAGGCTGTGTGGAAGCCTCAGCTGTTCACTCGGGAGCTTTACAGTGAAATCCTGGACAAGAAGTTCACCGTGACTGTGACCATGAGGACCCTGGATCTCATTGATGAGGCCTACGGGTTCGACTTCTATATTCTCAAGGCAAGCAGGGGTTAGTGCACCTCAGAGTCTTGTCAGAATCAAGGGGGATGTAGAGCAGCACTGCGTGGGGAGGAGGTGGACATGGCACCCAGGCTAGCCGTTACAAGCCTTAGCAAAATACGGTAGAACTGAGTCCTCTTTGGTGCAGCCCAGTGGACGTTTTCTGCCTTCAGGAAGGTCACTTGTGAACAGTCGTAGCCACCGCTACCTATCCAGGCTGGCATGCTGGTGCTGACCCCAATGCCTGATCTGCTCTAGTGTAGCTTACGGTTACCAGCTCAAGAAGAACCCACAGGGTCAGATGATGGGGTGGGTGGGACCGGGTGGGACCCTGCTATAGCACCTGGCCCTATGTAAACCTTCTGCCAGACCCCAAAGGAGGACCTGTGTTCCAAGTTTGGCATGGACCTGAAACGAGGGATGCTGCTGAGGCTTGCTCGCCAGGACCCCCAGCTCCATCCTGATGACCCCGAACGGAGACTAGCCATCTATGACAAATACAAGGTGAGAGTTTTCCCATCCTGCTTGCTGCCTGCGGCTTCTGGCCTGGCCCTTGTACTTCCCTGAGCCTTTTTCTTCTGTTTGCTCAGAGTTTTGTCATCCCAGAGGCAGAGGCAGAGTGGGTTGGCCTGACGCTGGAGGAAGCTGTGGAGAAACAGAGGCTCCTGGAGGAAAAGGTGAGCGAGCACCTGTGAACTGGCCACTGAGGGTGAGGGGGGCTGCTTTGGAGAGAGACTACTGTTGGGGGCCACCACACCTAAATGCTGCTATCTGTTTGGTTCCTGCCACTTTGACAAAGCATGGCATGCTTCCTCGCTTGAAGTCCTTCCCTCTCTTCTCCTGAATGCTTAGGGACCTTTGTCACTTGGCCACTCAGCATCCCCTAGGATTTTCCTTATGTGTCTTTCCCAGAATAGTCTAGAACTTGTGGTGGCCACCAGGACAGGGAAGCCGGGGAAGGGTGTGATTCTTAGTTTCCAAGAGAAAGCAGTCCTGTTCTGGCATTAGGCTCTGCCCTCCAGGATGGCAGGCAGTCTTTTTTGGTTTTCGTTTTTTCCAAGACTGGGTTTCTCTGCGTAGCCCTGGCTGTCCTAGAATGCAAACAGTCTTTTGTGACTGCCCATCCCTGGCTCTTCTATACCCTTTTCTCTTCATGTTTAGCTAGAAGCAGTTGACTGCCACCCTCCCTAGAGTTCCATCTCTGGGCTGCATTGAGCCTTACCATGACCTCTCCCCTTCAGGACCCTGTACCCCTGTTCAAGGTCTACGTAGAAGAGCTGGTCCAGCGGCTTCAGGAGCAGGTTCTGTCCAGGCCAGCAGTGGTGCAGAAGAGAGCTGGTGACCACGCCTGACCACCGGGCTCAGCCTTCCCTGTGGGTTTTTGCACCGTGGACACAGTTGGGGTGGGCACAAGGACCACCTGTGGGTAGTGGGTGAACCCTGCTTGGCATGTGCTGATCACACAGGTCCTGTAGTAGACTTTTCAGAGAACCCTTCTGTGCTAGGACTCTTGGAGACCTGGAGTGGAGCAGATGCCTGTCCAAGCTGGTCAAATACTTACAGCATTAAAGTTATTGGGCTGGATGGAATAAGTAAAGTCTCAGGCAGTGGAGCCACAGTCAAGTGTTGCGGTTTTCTTGGAAGTTTGCAGTCGCGCGCGTTCTTGTCACAGAAACTCAGCTGGACTATTTGCACTGTTCACCTGTAGCTGCTGGCCCTGCTGAGCTGTGGAGACTGAGGTCCTCTTTGTTGTTTAAGCTTCCTTAGAGAAGAGGTCCCTCATGGTTGAGGCATTCTTCTCTGCCAGTATATGTCCCTGCCTGCTCTGCAGTGTTATCCAGGGCACAGGAACAGAGCCTGGGGCCTGGCTCAGGTCTCTGCAGTCTGCCCTGCAGAGCTAAAAGGGAAAAGCTTCCTGGGTCTAGAACTTCTGCTGACATCTACTCTGCAGTGACTCAGGAAATGGGGCCATGTGAACCTAATGGCCATGACTTCAGCACCCCCTTCCTTAACTGCTCCCCTCTACCTTGTGGTTGGGGCTGTGGCTTGAGGTAGGAAGGCAGGCCTCTTTTACCCTGAGAGAACCCTATTCCTTTCTTTGGGGAAGACAGGAAGGGTCTCCCTAGCTGTGTGTGGAGCAAGATGAGGTGGTAGTAGAAGCTGAATTCCCAGAGCCCCACACCTGGCTGATGTAAACGGGAGCATTAGCTACCTGCTTGACTTGGACCTGGCCACTGACTTTAAGACAGTGGGATCCTCGGAGGGGGAGTAATAGGAGTGCCCATGCTTTGTTGTGTTCATGATGCCAGATCTAAAGCTGGCATGGATCCCTTCTGCCAGTGTAAGAGTGCCTACATAGAGATCCATAAAGATCAGGGCTTGCCTTGGGGTCAGAGCCCAAGGGTTGTACTTCAGTTCTTACTCTATTCTGGCCTCCCTGCCACTGCATAGCATGTAATCCTTTTGCTCTGTATAATTCTTAGGTTAAAAATTTTAAATTATATCTATTTAGTGTGCTTGTATGTGGAGGTCAGGGGACAACTTGTGGGAGTTGATTCTTTTCCTTCTACCTTGTGGGTTCCAGGGATCAATGTCAGGACATTAGGCATGATGGCAGGTGTCTTCACTGGCTCAGCCATCTTGCTGACTATAATTTAAAAAGTTTTCAGCCGGGTGGTGGCGCACACCTTTCATCCCAGCACTCGGGAGGCAGAGGCAGGTGGATCTCTGTGAGTTCGAGGCCAGGCTGGACCGACAGCCTCCAAAACAATGCAGAGAAATCCTGTCTCGTAAAACCAAAAAGAAAAGTTTTTCTACCACTTTGGCAGTGGTGGTGTATGACTTTAATCCCAGCACTTAGGAGGCAGAGTCAGCCTGGTCTACAGAGCTAGCTCCAGGACAGCCAAGGCTACACAAGAAAACCTTGTCTCAAAAAATTTTTTTTTCTTAACCTAAAGCAAACAGTACTTGGCTAGCTATTGCCTTGGTGGACCCACAAGGCTTTGCCTAGTAGTTTAAATCATCAGTATAGTTCCCACATCACTGGCTTTAAATTTGAGTCCTAAATTTAAACTGATCTCTTCCAGTTAGGGCTAGGTCCTTGTTGAAATGTGTAATGTGTAACCACTGTTTGACTTGGTTCAGCCAGCTGCCTGTCTGTTATCTATCTCCTCTCTCAGTGCCAAGGCTTGGGTCAAGCAGGATCTGTGTAGAGGTTTTGTTGTTGTTGCTTATTCTTCTGGAGACAAGTCTCACTTTGTAGTCTTGGCTGGCTTTGAACCCCAGGTCCTCATGTTCTGTCTCTTCCAAGAGCTGGAGTTACAGATGCACACCTTTAGGCTTGACTAGGTCCTGTAGGATTTCTTGTGTCAGTTTCCTGGGGCCTCAAGAGGCATGTGACTGCCTTGAAGGTTACAGTCAGAACAGGTCAGAGGCCAGACTTAACTCTGGCCTCTGTCTACCTGTTGGGAATTATGTTTCAGGCGAGTGTTCATATGCTGCATGCATTGACTCTTGGGATTGTGGTTCTGGACCAGGGATTGGGGGTTACTGAGAAATGGCTCAGGCTGGCCATTGGTGTAGTCTGAGCAACTCACTTCTGGTCACTGCTAGTCATCATCGCTGAAGTCTGAGGCTGTTTCAGTTTCCTAATAGAAGGCCAGGTATACTCTGGAGTGGCCCTGGCCTTGAATCCTAGATTGTTTCTTCATTATATCCTTACAATTTTTTTTTGAGACAGGTTCTCACTTTAGACCAGAAAGGCTTTGAACTTGAGGCGAGTGTAATGCCTCACCCTCTTGGGTTCTGGCATTATAGATGTGAGCTATGCCCAACTTTAGAGACATTTCTAGTCAGAAAACTAGATTCTCCATTAGCTTATCTCCTCTCTTAGTAAAATGACTCAAGTCAGAGGTAGGTCCCAAACAGACCATCTATACACTGCTGCCTTCTCGGTGTGGTGAGGGGGGGGTCCCGGCTTACAGAGTGGGGTGGGGTAACATTGAGTATCCTTGCTCACTTATGCATGCACATACACACAGGCATGCCTATGTTAATAATCCACACCACACAAGGAATAGGACTGAGATGCAAGCTGTGGGAACCTCTCTGAGAATTAGCTCTGTCTGCTTCCTTGCCTGCCGTGAGTCCTAAGCCTCCACTCCAGCTGCCTTAGCCACTCTTCCCTAGCTCTTTCTGTGCCCCTCGAACCAACCTGTCTGTCTGCTGTGTGTCTCAGAGTCTGCAGAAGGCAGACGCAACTCCTTGCTGTGTTTTTATGTCAACAGTCAGAGGTCAATCTTTTTTTTTTTTTTTTTTTGGTTTTTTGAGACAGGGTTTCTCTGTGGCTTTGGAAGGCTGTCCTGGAACTAGCTCTTATAGACCACAAAGATCCGCCTGCCTCTGCCTCCCGAGTGCTGGGATGAAAGGCGTGCGCCACCAACGCCCGGCATGAGGTCAATCTTAATGTCAAAAAGGCCTATGGCTGGCTGTGGTGACACGGGTAGGAGACTATCATTGCTGCTCTGATTCCTTACTGCTGCTATTCCTGCATGTTGGGGCTGGGCAGTGGAGACCTGAGAAGTTGTGACTTCATCATTCCATTTAGAAATGAGACCAAGGCCAGAAAGGGCCTCTGCCACTCAGGTGAGATGATATGAGGTGACTTATGGGCCCTGCCCAGAGCTCTACCTGACTTGTCTGAGAGTCTCACCAAATGCTGAATCCTACAGAGGAGGTAGGGTTGGGTGGGCAGGCCCTGAGGAGTTGCTTAGGCACCTTTGATCCTGTCTTGTGCCCTGTCAGCACTCTGAACCCAGGGAGTCACTGGAGGTCCGCTCTCATTTCACCCCTGCTTGTGCCTGGCAGTCTACCTGCCTTGGTCTGTGCTAACACCATGGTTTCCTGGCAACTTGAACCCTTCCTGCAAACACAGGTCAGGTTGTGTGGTACCCAGATCTTCTGTCCATTCTGAGCCATCCTATGCTGGATCTCTGGCCTGAAGAGGAACTCCACATCGCCCAACACACCTGCTGCAGCTCACTCCAACCTCCCTAGGTTCACACAATGGATGCTTTCCCACAACCAGCTGGCCCAGGCTGCCATTCCCACCCATACCCTGCCCATGGATGAGACTTGTCTACTGGTGGTCTCCAACATGGTAAGGAGACCCTTCAAGTTCAGGTGCTTTCCTGTGTCAGCAGCTAGGCCTGACTAGTGTGAAGCAGTTAAGCCATAAGCCATGCTCGGGCTGATCACTGAGTCACCATTCCAAGTTTGGATCCCTAAGACCAACCTGCTTGTTCTTTGGATGTAGGAACCCCTGGACACATGTTTCAGGTTCTCTTGGCTCTTTGGTCCCTCTGGTCTTAGCAGAGAACTCTTCATTGGCCACTTAGGTTCCTAGGACCTGCCAGGCTTTGGCCTTCCCTAAGGACCTAGAGAATCATACCTGTTTCTGGAAGCCCTGAAGGTGTTTATCAAAACATGGCCAGAAAGTGTGGTCTGGGCTTTACCTAGGAAGTGAGATGTAGTCAGAGAGTTCTCAAGAGGCCTTTCCAGGGCTCTTGAGCAGACATTGTTGTTCCCAGTGTTTGAACAGACTGGGCTGTTTCTGAATGTCACAGGAGTGACTGTCACAGAAGTGACTGTCACAGTACTGGGTTGTTGGTGCTTTCAAGCTTGTGCAAGGATCTATAACCAGGATGGGCAGTCCATGGAGGGATGACATATCATACTCTTGCTGAGACTCTCATCTTGGAGTATCCTTGAATGTCTTGTTGGGGACTAACGTTAGTTTACACTGGGGGTACATTGTTTTCCAGAAGGCCCTGTACTCAGAGAAAGGTTCCAGAGTTTTGCCAAGTTGGGGGACCCAAGGTTCACAGAGAGCAGGGTCATACTCAGGGCCATGGGAGGCTCCTGGCCGTAGGCATATGTGTTCAAAAGGCAGTGGCATTTCAGTAAGAATGTAGAGCAGTTATTGACAAACTTCCAAGTGAGGTAGGCTCAACGCTTGGGTCTTCTGACCTGGGATTGGGTGGGGTTTCTCCTACTGCCCCTCATCTCCCCCCTTCTCACTGTTTCTTCACCGGTATAGGCCTGGCCTTCAGCCCCTGGGGCAAGCCTGACCTGAAGTCCTTTTTTTCGGGAGGGGCTCCAGAGATCATTATTTTTGCCTCAACTAGGAGATCAAGTAGGTACATGTTACATCTCAGGAAAGGCTATAAGGTGGACAGAGCCCCTTCACATGGGACATGTATGAAACATATAACAAAAATGCTTAATAGCTAGTGTGGGGCCAGTTACTATGTAGTCACTCCCAATGCCCCTCTGAAGGGCATTGGCATGGGGCCACTGGCAGAACTGCCTGCTCCCTCCGCAGATAGGAGTGGCTTGGGGGGTGGCGGTGTCTAAAGGGGCTGGTTGCCATGGCTACCATAGGGTTCTGAGGCCCGTCATCTGGTCCCTGCCTCAGCCAATAGGCGGCAGGAGCCTGAGCTGCAGCCTAGAGTCACGCTTCTGCCTCCCAGCCACACAGTGGCCAAGAGCAGGGACCCGCTTCCTGGAGTGGCTGAAAGTGCTCGGACGGACTGCCAAGCCCATCATGGCGGACAGCGG